TATGGCTTAGTTACATATGATAAATTAACTAAAATATCTAAATCAAAACCGTGCAATACTTTTGTCCTCCCCCGGTATGTATTGGGGTGAAGGTTATAAACCGTAGGAAATAGGAGTTATAATTTACTTTAATTGGAAATTTAATTTTAATAGTCAAAATAATTGTTAGAATTCAAATTATCCAAAATTATAATTGTTTTGGGGGATTAAAGAATATGAAAATTTTAATCATGTGAAATTAAACAACAAAGGAGTCTCATTTGAAAGGCACGAATTTGTTTGTATCAATCAGATAGGTCTTCTTTTGATGAAATGTTTTCATGGAAACTGATTATGCATGTTTCTGCAATCCAAACGAAATCTTTTTTTATGCATGAAATTTTAAATTCACAATGACAAGTATGATATGAATAAATCATTCAATCGAACAATATGAAAAAAAATTTCATTATATTTATGAACATTACCTTGTAATTTTCTATATGTAGTCAGTACAAACTCACAAATATATTATAATCATTAATGAGCCCTTAAAAGGTTACGCGATAAACTAATGAAATGGGGTGGTTTGCAGTATATAAACGGAAGAAAACAATATTTTGATTTTATTAAAAAAATCATATTTAACATATAATATTTATTTTTCTTTGTAAACACCCTGTATTTAAAGTAAAAAAAAGTACCCTAATTCACATCTTTATACTATTGCGAAGAGAACGCCTCAAAAAAATTGAGTGATTCCTCTCTTTCTACTGTAAAGCGCCCATATGATGGAATTGCATTTTTATTTGCAGATGAAAGTTGCTTCAACTCACTGGCACAAAATATCAAAGAAGCGTACCAGAAAAGTGGGTCGTGAACTAAATCGAATTCGACAAAATAATCCACAACATTCTTTAATATACATGAGCCCGTTGATGATGTGGATTTTTCGATGTAATCCTATACCAAGTCCGAGAGCGAGTCAAGTTGGGATCAAGAGCTTTACGGAGAAAGCGCTCTAGATTGGTATTTGAGAGACATTGGTTAATTAGTTAGTTATAGTTTTATTATTCCCGATATTTCTTTTTTTCATTTTTTTTCGTTTTTATTAACATTAACAACAAATATTTTAATGAACTTATCACATGAAACATTAATTGGACTAACATTTTCCTAACAAGATTTAAATTGAAGAGAATTTTTTTTGATAAAAATAAAAAATTTGTTTATGAGGGTCAATTGAATTTTTTAATGTAGACATTATTTTTTTGTTTGTGTTTAAAGGAAAAAATAAAAAACTTGTATTTGTTTGAGTTCTTTTTAATAATGAAGACATTATTTTTTTTTACTCGATTTGAGATTAAAAAGAAAAAAAGGAAGCAATCCCTTAAATATATCTGATATACTTTTGCAAGATATGAACACTAAACATTTTAAATATTTCTTGTATCTGATTTGGCTTTTTATTTCTCTACAGAACGATTGTTTATCCACCTAAATTCGCAACATAATGAAAATAAACAGCATTAAAAATTAAGCTATAAATACGAAAAAAAAAAGATATCTAAATGTTATACCTTAGTGTCGATACGAGAAGCAGAAATGTTTTTCTCACCCGCGTTGTTATTCAATGGGATATAGTGGATTTGTTGATTATTAGAAAGGTGAATTATGTATTTAAAACACAATGTCGTTACATTCTGATTTGTAGATTTCATAACTGGAATTGTTATCGTTGTTTTTATGCGAATATATATAAGTTCAAAAATGCTTTATATTTTATATATTTTTTTTTTTTTTTTTGTGAATGGTTCGCTGTTTAAAAATTGACGCAAAAAAATTTATTTAAAAGAAAAAATTTTTTATAAGACGTAACACAAACATCTATCTACAATACGTGTCTCATTATCATTCGCGAGATGCGATTAATATTTTAAATCGAAACAAATTTCTATATTCTTACGCAAGAATAAATTAATAACCAAAGACTTGGCTGAATAGTTCAGTAAGTTGTTACTCAAAGAATGACAAGCAAAAGAAACGACACGTAAATATTTATTTATAGCTTCGTTATCATATTAATTAATTAAACCCTTTCTACGCGTTATTCTATAAAAATACAGTTATCCAAAGTACAAATGAGAAATGTCAGAAATTATTAATAAGTCGCGGGTTTCTCATATCTTCCATTAAAGGTAAGATCATTTCATGATGAGCAATAAAAAGTATATAATAAATCCTTAGAATTTTTCAATATACAATTCTAATCTTGAACTGTATTGAGTAGCAGATATCAATAACAACGACTTGGAAGTAGGCGTATTTCCCGTAATTGTAAGAATATTTAATTATCAAAAATTTATTATTTGTGATATTTATTTTATCTTACTCAACAATAATTTAGGTTTGTAGATGATATTGAATGGATATTTATTAGATCTATTGAGGAAAGGGTATAAAACTTCAACTTATAGCTTTTAAATTTAATATCGTCTAGCGATTTACTTTGGTAAGATATTAATTAATCAAGCGATGTTCTCCTCGTCCATTCTAAGCTTCTTTGTTCAAACCCTTGCAAAGATATTTCACTCTTGATTTAATCATTCATATTTAACGGGTGTAGAAGTCAAAGTGGACTTGTATATTAGTTTTATTAATAATGTTGATGGAATGATGAAACCGATTCTTACGTTTATTCGGATAAATCGGTTGTCAAAGCTTCACTTCAGAAAAGCGAAAATAAAGATTCGGAAGATTGTGTGTGAAGTATAGTCTATCTAGAAGTGATATGGGCGAAAGTTATAAATAATCTTTAACAAGTTAAGTTTTATAAATTACGTGTTATTCAGAAATTGAAGCAGTCACTTTAAATCATATGGTCAATTTCTTAATACTAAATATCAACTTTTTTTACTCTGCTTGAAACAATATATTGAACAATTATTACGTAATACGTGAACTGAACCACAAAATCATTTTATTGCAACAATTTACGCATTATGAAGTTTAGAACCCCAATGAAGAAATTTAAAGTATCGGTTTCAGAGTATCTTGAAAAAAAAAAAAAATTTTGTCCAATCTAGCAATCATTTTGGAGGTGGGTTTATATTATTTGAACATTGTATATTTAATAAGTCTCGACAATTGATTAAGTATTGAATATCTGGATACTTGTATTAATAAATACCAAATTAGAATAAATTATGTACTCTCAAAGTTTTTTTTTTATTTAGAATTAAAGGATTTCACATATTCTAATTAATATTATAATCAGTTTCAAGGTACGTGCAGATTTTTGTTTAATTATTATATAATTTTTATTTAATGATTTATATATTAATATTAATTTTTAGGTTGTCTCTATTGATCAAATGGTTACTTTGGACTTCAAGTGTAATCAAAGATGGAGAAGATAGAATCATAAATGATATCTATAAACCAACACGTCTAGACAATAAAGTTCTAGATTTTGATGGCCATTTTGCAAAAGGTTCTTGTCCTAAAATGCTTTTAAATTATACCCTCCAAGGTTATTTAGGCAAGAAAAGGATTGCCAGTAATCGTACGCTTTTTGTCAAACATGAATTTAATGAATTTTTTATAACTTAATCATATTAAATATATGAAAATTTTCATATTTTATTTTTTCAAAAGTTAAAAAAGTTATCCCCTTATTCGTTGATCCGCTTGAACGTTTATACGTTTAATGTTACTAGCAGATACAAATATTAAGTGTTAATACTTCAATTAGTTCACGTAAACGCCAAATGTGAAGATGTAATTCTGGTCCATGATTTCACTAGATTGTGATTATGAGACTTCGCGTAATGGGTTTAACAAAAATTATTTGGTACCAATAAGTCGCAATGACAAATATTATAATTAAAAGAATCGCGCGAAAATTTCTGGGTTTATTTAAAAATTTTATAATGAATACATTATATTTTGTTTTTTACATTTAAGAAAAAATAAAATAATAATTACTTATTTTTTTAAAAAAAAAAGATGTATGCTGTTTATTTAACTCCCTTCACCTATAGCTTCACACAAAGGCCTTGATAATAATATCAAAATCATGAATTTGACTTGAATATTATTAACAAGGTCCTTGTATGAAGCTATAGGTGAAGGGAATTAAGTGAAGTAAAATCTCAAGCTCCCATGATTCCGTTCTACATTTAATTAAGTATTAGAAAGATTCAGTAATTCAACATAAACAAAGATTTACATTATCAAAAAAACAACATACAAACAAATTTGTCACATATAGCATGATATTGCTTGGAAATTGGTGTTCTGAAAATTTAAGACCTAATTGCATCCCAATCTAATAAAATCGGAAACTAAAGTGGTAATAAAATTTTGTTAACAAATTTCCAGAACCTAATTTCTTATCAACAACAAAAAAACGACACCTCACCTAATGTACTTGAAAATAAATTCGCGCATAATCATCAAATATGCCATACATCTGCACCGATGTTTATTCACCCATGGTTACAAAGTTCATTTTTTAATTAAAATTTTGTAAAAGGGTTTTCATTCGTACTTCGATTATCAATATATAAATGGCTTAGAAATTTGTTAAACGTAATACGCATTGATGTGGCTTGGAAGCTTCCAATCAAAATTTGGAAGTAATAAATGCACATCACTGGTTATACATTACATAAAAATTTTTCAAAAGAATATAAAACGGGATTATTAAAAAGCTACTATTTTGCTTTTTTCTTTAAAAAAAAAAAAAAATAGCTCGTAATCTTTAAACCCGAACATTTTAAAAAATATAAAAAATTTTTGCAAGTTTTGGCAACTTACCAAACCTGCATCTTTTAATACAAACAAAAACCTATATAACTCTTATAAATACCTTTGAATCATATACTTAATGGTCATATACTTAATAGTATCAATGTGTAGAACCTTTAAATGTCCAAATTTTAAACACTTTTATTTTCACTACTGAAAACAATCAGGATTAGTGAAATTATTTTGCTCGGCGTGCTGTTCAGGACAATCGACCTCTATTAGGCGCGTCGTGTCAACAGAACGAGCAAGTGGACGGGTCGCCGTACGGAGTCAGTACTATATAGTTCTAAAACAAATTTTTAATACAAAATGGATAAACAGATTATTAATATGAGTAGCGTACTTAAGAGAAAATGCACCAAGAAAATATTATTCATTTTTATTAGTATTATTACATATTATAAATTAGGGGAAAAAAACAATTGTAATTGAGAATTTATTATATTTATTATTCAATAAAGTTAAACATATTTGGGCTTTGTCAATAAAAACGCACCATATTACTTAAGCAAGATGGTGCGTTTCTATTGACGAAATAAAATCAAATTAAATATCTTGATAATAGTATATTAAAAATATTCATTTTGAAATTATTTTAATCCGACATATCTAATTCTGCATATTCTTGTTTGAAATTTAATAAAATTTGGGAAATTTCTGCAGATTGATTTTTATATCCGCCTAAATTCGCAACATAATGAAACATTAAAATTAAAACGAAAAATTAAAACGTTTAAATTTGAAGTTCTAATACCTTAAAATGTATTTTCTCACGTACAATTTTAATAAAATTTGACAGGACGTAACACGAACATCCAATTACAATCACGTGTCCCCTCAAATAAACAACCTAATCTCACGGGTGGCGTCTGTAACAAATAACGAGTGACAAATAGGATTTCACACCCTAAAAAAAAGACTAAGTTCCCAGATTAAATAGTACATAGTGGATGTGATACTATATGACAGATAAATTATAAGTCACATGACCCAAGGATTTTGATGGTATCTTGGGGAAAAAATATTTTTTTATATCATTCTTTTAAAAATTCAACAAGATATTTTGAACGAAACAAATTCTTCTATATTTACATAAGTATAGTATAAGTAAGCCAAGTTTTGAATCCTTTGAACAGTTCAATAAAAGTTATCTTACTAAATAACACATAAGAAGAAATAATATGTAAGTCTTTATTTTTAGTTTAGTTTTTAT